GTCAGTCTAAGATAGCAGCAGTCACAGCAGGGACGGCTAGAGCTAATTCTGTCTGTGTGGGAAACAGCTGCCAGTCATCTGCTGTCTACACCTGGCAGCTTTGTTCCAGCTGTTTCCAGATCAGTGCATTCCTATATGTGAACAGGCTCTTTTTAATGGTGTGATCTGAAGCGTCATTGTCTTATGTGGTCAACGAGGCACAAAGAAGCAGTCAGGGGTCAGGGGTCAGAGTAGCTTTTTAGACAAGCTTTGAAGAAACTGTGATTTGACTTCATGATCTGATCTTTACCATAATCAGGGCCCCAGATACACGTAATTCTGTTACAGACATACAAAGTAAAAGGAATCTGTTCACTGATTCAGTCGAAATAAGCAAACATTTCAGTTACACTCAAAGTTATTGTTTCAAGTTTATGAGGACAAAATATCTTTTGGGCTTGTTTTTTCCGATTGTGTTTCAGTGAAACCAACAGTGTTACGCTCCTTCAGGCTCAGTGTTGTTAGTGATGACTAAGGCAGAGCTTTGCAGCCACATTCAAACTGAACAGGATCCATATAAAAGTCAGCATTGTGAACCTTATTGCTTTGCTACAGCAGCAGAATCAGGGCAAAGAAGTAGTGCACTGTTGTAATTGCCTATTTGGCACGAGATCACTTACGTAACCAGTTCCAAGAACTGCACCGTCTGAATGTATAAGAAGCCTGAAAGTGGACTAATTGGAAATCTGCGTCTGATTTAGCTTGAACCGTTTTCCTGCGTAGCGAGGTTAAATGTGTGCCAGCAGTTCACAGACTGGTCATGTCAGCAATGCTACTGGTGGATTCAGACCTGCATCCAGTCTGTGCCAACTCTGTAGATCTCAATCACAACTCATCGGAGAGGCAGCTGAGGATCAACCATCACAGTAGTAACCACACTGCTCCATCGCAGCCAAACACCAAAACACACTTTGTTTTGAGCCCAGGTTCACTGACCTCAGCGGCTTTTTGAGCCAGTTCTTTCTGGATTTTGGCTTTCTCCAGCTTATCCTGGGCCTCCCTCTTCTTCCTCTCTTCCTCCATCCTCTTCCTCTCCTCCTCCTGTCTTTGTTTTTCCATCTCTGCAAACTTCCCCTTCACGCTACCTGAGGATTTCACAAAGCGAGACACGAGCCTTAAGCCTCGTCTTCCTCCCGGATAGTCATCGCTCATTACCATCCCTTACCTTTGATTTTGGGGACGTAAGATTTTTCCACCTTCGCCGGCTTCACCTCCTCTTCCTCATCACTGGAAGCAAGCAGTTCTTTTATCTGTGATCGAGCAGATAGAAAGTGTGACGAGCTGAGGTTACGGTTTAGCTGGGATCATCTCCTTTGCCACTCAGGAGCCATGCTGGTCCCAGCAAGAACACGAGCCTAATCCCTGCTAATAGCAGGGTCATGTGGCTTGCAGCAGGCCTCTGATTGGCCCGTCGTGTTGTTGAACAGATAGGGGATGAGTGCAGGTGTCCGAGCCTGGCCAGCTACGGCACAGCAGTACACAGGAAGGAGTGCCTGATAATCACATAACACCGTATCACTGCCTTTATTTCACTGCAGTCGATTAGGAAGAAAAGCTTAACCTGCGATTCTTGATCTGATCATTCTCAGTGATGTCGGCTTTTTCTA